CAATGAATATTATGATGACTCTTCAGTTAAGCAACAACAGTGAAGGAAGCGACAGTGAAGGAGTCTAGTTCATGAGGAGCATATTTTAGTATGAATATTGTCTTAAAATTTTGAGGGATTAATTAGAACAATATATTGTTCTTCTACAAACAACTCTATTACATTGTGAGATCTAACTCTTGTTCTTGCTCTGGTCTTTAAGTGACTGTCTTAGGGGTTGATTGGTAGAGCATTAGCATAAGCATTATGCTCTCTATTATCCAATCAACATTTGGCAAAGAAGCATTTAGAAAAGCATTTACCAAATGCAAATGCTCTCCAAATGCTCTCTGCTCAATGCTCTCATATAGAGCTTTTGAGAGAGCATTTGCATATAGAAAATATAAAACTTAATAATATTTATATATAATTAATTTATTTTTGTTTAAAAATATAAACAATATTTTTATAATTAAATATAAATTTCTATTTTAAAAAATAAAAATAAAAATTATAATTTTTTTTTTAAAAGAACAATATTTCACATTTAAAATATAATATAATTTATATAATTACATATATCATTCATTATTTTTAATAACTAACATAACATAATATAATTTATATATTATTGATATAAACATATTATTTAGACAGTAATAAATAAATTATATATTAACTTTTATGATAATTTTATATATGAGTAATTTAGTGCTCTGCCAATAAATAAATAATAATAATAATTTATATATAAATTATAATTAATTTATATATAAATTATAATTAATTTATATATAAATTATAATTAATTAATTTATTTAGTAATAATTATAATTTAATAATAATTAACTAAATTATAACTATAATTTTATATATGAGTAATATGTTATATCCAAAAAAAAATTAATATTTAAAAAAAAAAATTTTAAATATAATTTACATAATGAAAATCAATTATTTTTAATAAAATTATATATTATTAATATATAATTTTATATATATTATTTTAAGAGAAATATATTATTTTATTAACTATTATTATAATTTTAAAATTGTATACTGCTAATGCTCTGCCAATCACTTTATCTATACTATTATTTAAGAAGTAAATTTGCTTAGTTGTCATGTTCTCCATAAATTTAGATACTTTTGTTTATTTATAATATTTTTAATATTTATATATAAATTATTTAAAATAAAACGAATTTATATGATATTATATTTTTTTAAAAATAAGATAATTTTGTGATTTATGTTGTTATCTTGAACTAAATTTTTATATATAAAACTTAAAGTTTAAATTAAGATATAAAAATTATTATATTTATTATATAACTAAAACAAATTTGTATTAATAATTTTATATTTTTATAAAATAATATAATTCTTATGTATTATGTTGTTATGTTGAAATTATAATTTCCTATTATAAAATTTAAAATTAAGATATAAAAATTAAATTATTAATAATTAAATTTAAATCATCAAAAAAAAATTTGAAAAGTTATTTGTTGATTTGTCAACTTCTCCATGATCCTAGGTAATTTTGATCACTTATCATAATTTCTTTAATTTTGTTTTGTTATTGATTATATAATTAAAACTAATTTATATTAAGAATATGATATTTTAGAAAATAAGTTAATTCTTATATATTATGTTGTTATCTTGAAAATATATTTTTTACTATAGAATTTGAAATTAACATGTAAGAAGTCTTTTCTATTATTTAAGAAGTGAATTTAATGTTTGATGGTTTGTCATATTTTCCATGATTTTAGGTAACTTCGATAATTATCATAATTTATATAATTTTATATATAATTTATTATATATTTAAAACAAATTTATATTAATAGTATCAGATTTTTAGAAAATAAGACACCTCTTATGTATTATGTTGTTGTCTTCGAAATATTTTTTTCTATTAGAAATTTAAAATTACAGTTTAAAAAGTTGTAATTATTCTATACTTCAAATAAATTTACACTAATACATAAGAGGAATATAAATATATAGAACTATTAAATATAAATTAAGGAAATTGATTATAGAACTATATTATTTAAAATATTTCTGATGTTTGAGTTTTGTCATTTATAATTATTTGATGTTTGATTTTTTCTTTTTGAAAACATAAGTAATATATTAATCAAACATCAACGGATAAATATTCATACGAAAATTATGCCCGCAAGTGCGGGCAAAACACCTAGTTAAAAAAATTAATGAAAGCATACAACTTCTGTAGCATACTGCTTCTGCACCATACTGCTACTGCTTTATCATCTGCAGTACCAATCGAGGCCTTAATCTTAAACATTGGTGGGATTATTAGTCAATACTATTAATCTGTATGTTAGCATGCTCAATCAAATTGGTTAGTTTTGTGTCGGAACAACATTGCAATTGAGTGATATACCAAGAACATAAATCCATGTCCATTTAGTTTAAAGATACCGAGTTGGGGGGAAAGAGTTTATTTGATTAAATAGTAAATCATACAAAGAATTGCAAGTTTTACATCTAAACAACCTCTTTCTCTTATTACATGAAGCAAATATTATTTAATAAAACTTGGCTCACTTTCCGGGAACAAAGTTGGTGGCAAAGGCCCATGCATTGTTGTTGACTGGATCAGCCAAATGGTCAGCAAGATTCTCCAAAGGTCCCTTACCAGTGACAATAGCTTGAACAAAGAATCCAAACATAGAGAACATAGCCAATCTTCCGTTTTTGATCTCTTTCACCTTCAACTCCGCAAAGGCCTCTGGATCCGTAGCCAAGCCCAATGGGTCGAAGCTGCCTCCCGGGTAGAGCAAGTCCTCGGCCTCTCCCAACGGCCCATCTCCAGCAACTCTGTAGCCTTCAACGGCTCCCATCAAGATCACTTGAGTGGCCCAAATAGCCAAGATACTTTGAGCATGAACCAAGCTAGGGTTTCCCAAGTAATCAAGCCCTCCTTCACTGAAGATCTGTGAACCGGCCTTGAACCAAACCGCCTCACCAAACTTGACTCCGTTCCTAGCCAACAGCTCCGGGAAGACACAGCCTAGGGCTCCGAGCATGGCCCACCTGCAGTGGATAACTTCTAGCTCACGGTTCCTTGCAAACGTCTCGGGATCGGCTGAGAGACCAGCAGTGTCCCATCCGTAGTCTCCTGGGAACTCTCCGGTGAGGTAGCTCGGTGGCTCGCCGGAGAATGGACCCAAGTACTTGACTCTTTCGGCTCCGTACCATGGGCTGCCTGATGGGCCCTTTGGCTTGGCCACAGTCTTCCTCATTGTCACACGGCCGCTTCCAAGAACATCTGAAGCTGCTGGAGAAAGCTTCACGGCCTTTCCGGCGAAGGCAGGGGAGGAGAGAGCCATTGTTGAGGCTGCCATTGCGGTTAAGTGCGGCTTAAAAGTAAAAGAAAAACGTTTATTAGTTGTTGTTGTGAGCCAAGAGATAGGTGGTTTGGCTCTGATGAGCTTTTTCTCTATTTATAATGTAAAGTTGACATATTGTCTTATCTTAGAATATCCAGTCTGAATAATATCTTATCTTAGAATATCAATCTCTAGTGTTTCTATTGGCTGTTGACATATATTTTTGGTGCTGACGTGGTGATTATGGATTCTACTTAGTATTTTATCTCGTAGTTGATTTGTGTGTTTAAAAATATGTATATATCTTTTAACGTTTCAGGAAATGGTGAAGCATCCACTCATAAAGTGCCACGTATAAGACTTTATCTCTTTATCATTTTGAAATCCCGAGTGTGTCAATGAAAATTCAATAGCAATTTGGATAATTCTGGATATTACATTTTGTATATATTTTTATCATCTTTCTTTGTATATTTTCATATAAACTTTTAATGATTAAACAACGACATTTGGCTAGAGTTAGACGAATAAGCCAAAGTAGATAAAACTAAAAATTATAAAATTATCACATAATCAAAACCAGTGTTTCATCAAAAGAAGACGAAAACAATGAATGTAATATCGTCTGTTAGCAGCTTTCCATATGTTAATGTATCAACTTTTCTTCGGAATTTTCTCAAAAAAAAAAAAATATTCGGAAACTTTTATATGTGGCGTACGGTATGGTGGAGAGTGAACCATGCATAAAGAACTATGATTGTTGAAGCATCAACTCCACGAAAGTTACTCGTACCGACATTTGGCTGAATTAAGATGAATTAACAATACTGTCAATACATGATCATATATATGTAAGAAAACAAAAACAAATTAAAGAAACTTGAGATTACGTTTACACTGCTTGTAGTATCATTGATGGGAACATACACGATACATATATAGTTTTGGTAGCTTTCGGCTTATAAAGCTTAGAATTGTGCGCTCTATGAGATTTCACGTTCGCATGCATGGGCTAATTGAGTGATTTTAGTTGTGTGTTTGTGTGTTTAGAGCTCTGTAAAACTGATGTACGAGAGATGTAAATAACACTCTATAATGATTGCTTAAGGCGTTTTCTATAAAAGTGACTGAGGCTGGTTTTTAACTAGTATAGCGAATCTGGTGATGGACTCACTGTTGAAAATATTATTAATGATCGAAACATCATAAAACATGATTTGGGTGATTAGTGATTCTTCTACTGCAACTTATATATAATGTTTTTATCACTAATATCAATATTTTCCCACATCACAAAATCTCTTATTATGAGGGAAATAAATCCACAAAAACCTTTTGAAAAGCAAAGTCACAAAGTAGTGTTACCGTTAAAGTATATGGACAGACAACTTGTGGTCTCAAAATGTTTTGGCTGCAATGAAAGAATCAAAGCAAAAGCTAATGGACTAGAGACTGCCACATAAGAATACCAATAAAACGATAAAACCAGAATCTCAAAAGCCAATGAAGGAAGAGATAAAGATTACTCCACAGATAACAAACGTTACTCACAATATCTCTATTTAATCCAAACATATCCCAACAATTTCAATCACTCTCATTCACAAGTTAGTCACCAAAAAACCAATAAAAAAAAAACAAGAATTATCAATGGCTGCCTCAACAATGGCTCTCTCCTCCCCTACCTTCGCCGGAAAGGCCGTGAAGCTTTCTCCAGAAATCCTCGGAAGCGGTCGTGTGACAATGAGGAAGACCGTTGCCAAGCCAAAGGGTCCATCAGGCAGCCCATGGTACGGAGCCGAAAGAGTTAAGTACTTGGGTCCATTCTCCGGCGAGCCACCGAGCTACCTTACCGGAGAGTTCCCAGGAGACTACGGATGGGACACTGCTGGTCTCTCAGCTGACCCCGAGACGTTTGCAAGGAACCGTGAGCTAGAAGTTATCCACTGCAGGTGGGCCATGCTCGGAGCCCTAGGCTGCGTCTTCCCGGAGCTGTTGGCTAGGAACGGAGTCAAGTTTGGTGAGGCGGTTTGGTTCAAGGCCGGTTCACAGATCTTCAGCGAAGGAGGACTTGATTACTTGGGAAACCCTAGCTTGGTTCATGCTCAAAGTATCTTGGCTATTTGGGCCACTCAAGTGATTTTGATGGGAGCCGTTGAAGGCTACAGAGTTGCTGGAGATGGACCGTTGGGAGAGGCCGAGGACTTGCTCTACCCAGGAGGCAGCTTCGACCCATTGGGCTTGGCTACGGATCCAGAGGCCTTTGCGGAGTTGAAGGTGAAGGAGATCAAGAACGGAAGATTAGCTATGTTTTCTATGTTTGGATTCTTTGTTCAAGCTATTGTCACTGGTAAGGGACCTTTGGAGAATCTTGCTGACCATTTGGCTGATCCAGTCAACAACAATGCGTGGGCTTTTGCCACCAACTTTGTTCCCGGAAAGTGAGCCAAGTTCTATCTGTTTGATGTTTGATTCTGTCTTTTGAATTTGAGTGAGAGTGAGAAAGAGGAGAACGAGTTAAAGGTTTGTGTTTGTGACTAATGGACTTTCAGATGTATAAGTTTGTCAGACTTTCTATGCTTTTATCATTAATCAAATAACTCATTTTCTCTCGATTTATATTTGTATCAGCTAAACATTTATTCAGTTTATGTTATATACATTCTTTGTGATTGATGTGATACAAAGCCAACTAGCAAATCGCACCTACGTTGCATTTAGGAAATTTTGACCTTTTGAAGATTATTCATAGAAATGAATATGAAAAAAAAACAAATCAGTTAACACTTATCCAAGTTGTAAAAGTTCCAAACATAGAAATAAGAACTCAACTCAGACGAGCAAAGAAGATGCATTCTTTAGCTCAAAGAAGTCCTGAAGAGAAGTCATTTTGATGGCACTTGACTTCAAGCTCTTGATTCCCTCTACCGTGGCCAATGCTCCAGCCACAGTGGTTATAACCGGGACCTTGTAAGCTAACGCCATTTGTCTGAGCTGTCTCCCATCTATCTGGTCAAGAGCATCACCCGAGCTCGTGATCAACATCAGATTTATTTTGAAGCAATATTTGTATTGTGAAGTCAAAGAGATAAGAAAAGATGCTTTCACTGATGCTTTATTTACTAAGACGTAGATGGCCGTTGTGGGTTTGAGCTTAAGCATTGGGTATTATAATTATTGCAACTTTGGTTGTCCATTTGGCACACTCGATCTGCATACGTGAAGTTTAGTCAAAAGCTACATTTGAAATCCTTAATGGCTGATCTTGGGTACTTACTTGTGGTTTATAGATTCTATTAACCTTAACCAGATATGAAACTGATAAATGTAGGTTTTGAGACTTATCTTACTGAGCCACCTAGCAAGATCAATAGATCATAACAGTAAAACATAGTACAAAAAGCTGTGCTCACCGAAATGAACAAAAAGCTAAAACAAAAAGGAATAAAGATTGATCGAGAATCATGCGCAAAACAGTGTTAGGAAGAGAAACTATATATCTGTTGTGTGGAAAGCCAGATGTTATAAATCTGGAAAGCACATCATCACAAGATCTATGAAAAAATGAAGAAAGGAGTGGCAGGAGAGCGGTGTTGATACTGACGTTATTGGAATCCATGATGTGTAGGGGTGATATTTGTTTGTACCTAACCTTATCCGCTTGTCCAACTTGTATTCATCCAAAGGTAATCAACCAAACACATTCATAGTGATATCTAGCAATATTAAGAAACTTTTTAAAAAAAAAATTATTTATTTTTTTTTCAAAAAAAAAACAAATATTAAGAATCTAGCTATGGACCAAAAGTAGTAATGAAAAAAAAAAACAGAAGCCTATACATAAGGAAAGCAGTGGACCTTACTAGTAGGTGAGGGAGGGGTTGCTACAAGTAACTACTAACCAACTAGAGCTCAGATTAACACGGCTTAGAGTATTAGTAGTTGACATTTGACATCAGTGTTCAAACATTTGCTGACTAATTTGTTTTTTAATATCAACTAGATTTTGATCCGCGCTTGAAAGCGCGTAAATTTTTTATAACTTAAATTTATATAATTGGGTTATATCTTAATTTAAAGAATGTTTTGGTATAAAATCAATTTATCAAAATTTGTGGTGACGATTTTTTTTCATTAGTTTTTAGTTTCAGTTTTTATTTTAGATTTTGGTTTTTAGTTTTTAAATTTCTATTTTTGATTTTCAGCTTTTGTTTGGGTTTTTAATTTTTAGATCCGCTGAGTTAGTTTGAACTGATATTACCAACAAACAAATTTCAAATAATCGAACATCTAATTTAAAACTGAAAAGATGACAAAATTTTTTAAAAAAAATTGCAATAGTTTATTTTGTAAAGAAACAAAAGCAAAAACTATAACAATATGTTCTCCAGAATAATGCGTTTTCAGGTTTTGATTTTGGGTTTTAGTTTTTAGAATTGGTTTTTGGTTTTGCTTTACATTTATTTTTTTTAAATCAGTAAATTATTTAAGAAAAATAAAACAATAATTTATTTAAAAGCTACCATTGAAATTTATCAAAAAGTGATTGTTATTTAAAATAAAAAATACAATAACATGTTTTAAAGTACATGATTTAAATAACTGATTAATAATAGACAATTTTGTTTTGTTAAAAATATTAAATATATTTGGGCCTGAAAATAATAATTGATTTTTTGATCCATTAAGATAGAAATTTTATTCAATGTTTTTTAGAGTTTTTCCTTAATAGTAAGCCTAAAAATCAAACCATATAATTAGTCCTAAAAACAAAAGTAAGCCCAAGACTATATCCCAGAAATAACCATCGGTTTAATTTAAGTAATGCGGTTCAATTAACTATATGGCTTGTTGTAACACTCTAGAAAGAGTCCAAATTTAAATGACAACTAGGATAAGACCTGCGCCTTGCGCAGGGTGAATATATGTAATTAAAATATAAAATTTTAATATTCACAAATTTAAAATTTACATATGATTGTTTTTGTATGTATTTGAAATTTTAGAATTTTGGAATTTTTATATAATTATCTATACGTATGATCAAAAACAACTTTAATTAGAAATGTAAATCAAATCTTAGAAT